AGAGAATTATTTTGATTTTATAAATTTTTTGTTTATTTAGTTTCTATAAAATGTTTTTCTTGATTTTTCATCCTTTCAAAATTCTAAACTATATTTTTTAATCTTTAATATTTATTTTAATACAGATAGATAACATTTATTTTTCAAATTTGAAGACTCTTTAATGTCATATTTTGACATTATAGCTCATCACATACATAAATTTAAAAGATCATTTCACATTTTCTTCAACATATAGACAGGATAAAAAGTACTGATTTTTAATTTTAGAGAAAAAAAAGCAAAGTAAAAAATTTAATGGAACCTTCAGCAAAACTCAATATTATACAGAGAGCAAGAACATATTTAAACGTTAAATTCAATATAAAACTTGAGTTAGTTTTACATCATCTATAAATGCTTGAAGCTTCTCTATTCTAAAGTCACAATTTTCACTCTTGAATATATTAGGAAGACACTGAACGAATATGGATCAAATGAAAACGTATTGAGTATCGTTGAAGAGTTTGTCAAGGCTACTGCTTCACAAATCCAGGTAATTTGGAATAACTTATGAACATGATTATATGTTTCTTGTTGTTAATCCTAATTAGTTATTGTAAAATTATGTTGCATCGAGAATATTTTTAGTAACCATTTTTGTGCATTTTTCTCATCAAAATATGCAGGAGAGGTTTGAAAAACTTCAAGAAATCAAAATGCAGAGTGTAAACAAGGATTCTAAAGATTGCCATTGTAGAGGATGTGAATCTGATGGGATGTGTTTGGAGAAAGGCTTGAGTGCCAGTTCACGATCTTTGGATAATCTTTTCTGTCGTCATTGCTTTGTAAATTCTAAAACGTTATTCTTTAAAGTTCTGGTGTATAAAGATTGTAACGGTATGTCTTATAATTTTCTTGAGCAGATCTTTAATTGTCCTGTGCATGGAAATTTTCAACCTTTAGTATATCCTGTAAGGAATAATTCTTCAAGTTCTTTTCAATTTAATCTGTGTTACGAACTCCAGCAAGAAATCAATTTGATGATTTACTTCACAGACGGAAAAGCAAAAACCTTGGTCTGGACATGAAGGTGACAGACAACAACCATGTAGCGATCAATGTGCCCTTCTGGTATTCTTCTTTTTCTTTCTCTGAGATTTCTGGGGGCTGTGGAAGAATATAAATCTAAAATTTCAATTTTATTTTCTCAGTCAAAAGATGTCAGGCTTTCTTCAGCTTAAGGGTCTTCTAAAGCCAAAAGAGTTAATCCATCAGAAGAGAACTCAACATTGCCTCCAAAAGAGTCTCTGAATTCTTGTAATAAGATGAAAACAATCTTGGATGATAGAGACGAAGTTGGGGAACAGCATGCTAAGGAGATAACAAGTAACCTGGATTGGAAATCTCTAGAGAGAGATTTATATTTGAAGGGTATAGAAGTGTTTGGAAAAAACAGGTATGGAAATTTGTTTTTTGCTGGAAAAATGGTGGCTTCAAACTTAGCTTCAACTTGCATTGCGTATAAACAATAGTGGACTTGAAAAATTAGTTCTTATTTTTTCTGTACATGTTCTGCGAGTGTGTTTAATTTTTAAAATATTCTTCTTTCTTGTGAAAGCATTAAGCTATACCATTAATTTTTTTTTTCTTGTAATAAGCATTGAATGTTTTCTATTAAGGTTTTGAATGCATTATTAGGATATTATCTCCTAACTGTTATACAAGTAGAGCAACTTTTAAAATGCTTGTATTTGAAATCCATTTGTTGCAACTGTTATACAAGTGTTGGTTTACGTGGTGCTATTCACGACTTGCAGTTGCCTTATTACTCGAAACTTACTTTCTGGCTTGAAGACTTGCTCGGAAGTAGCTAGTTACATGTTGGCTGAGGAGGAGTCAATGCTCCATGGATCCATGCCACTTACAAATGCAAATAACGATGATCAGGCTAATGCAGAGAGCACGGTGAGAACTGCTAATAGAGACATTTCCTAGCTAGTTAGTTTACTATCATTTTTTGTTAGCGGTCAAAAATATTGTACGTTGTAATAGATACCTTAGCTATCAAGAATAATCGGTGCAAGTGTATGTTGTAAGAGATACTGGACTTAGTTCTCATCTATAAAACTATAAAATGTAATGCACAATTGGTGTGAAATAAAAAAAAAAAAAGTATACTTTCTCTATTAAAATTCTTCTTCATTCAATTTATGGTTTAATCCGTCGTAATACTTTTCTTCTTTGCATCTTCATAACGGTTTCCTTCATGGTCTTCTCCTAATATGATTCTTGATTCTTCCAATCCCTATTTCATTACTGGTGATTCCTTTTGTTTTGATAAAAATGAATGGACCTGATTATTATTCTTGGTCTCATAAATTTTCTATCTTCTTGAAATTTCTTTATTCGAAGAACAAGCTTCAATTCATTGGTATTCTTCCTCATCCACAATCTAACTCCGCCCTTTTGGATATTAGGATTGTTGTAACTCTATTTTCATGTCATGGCTCATTTTTTTTATTGATGCAACAATTACTCCAAGTGTTTATTAGATGAATCTGGAATTACTCCAAGGGAGACGTTTTTCGCATCTCAAATATTCAAGAAGAAATCTACGTTCTTTGTCAAAGTCATCTTATTATAACTGTGTATTTCACTCAGTTGTAGAATCTTTATCAAGACTTAGATCAATTCCGTCCTCTACCTTTGTGTTCTTGTGAGATCAAGTCTTCTTGCAATCTTCTCCCTACTATATGTTCTTATCGTGTTGGTGATTTTGTTCTTCTCAAAGGGCTTAATGAACAATACTTCATTGTTCGTTCCCAAATTATGATGATGACGATCATACTTTCTTCCTTCTCATTCAATAAGAACACTAATTCGGTGTCCCGATTGATGATCTTCATACTATGGCCTCTTTTTCTTCCTTCATAAGAGGACACACTGGTTTCTTCGGTCTTTACTCTTAGTCTTTCTCCACTTCTGGTAAAGGTCGCGGTTGTCATTGTAATTCCAAAGTATGTACTCATTGTGATCACCCTGGACATACTATTGAAACTTGTTCTCGAAAACATGGATCTTCACTTGCAGAATTCTGATTCTTCTCATGATGTTCAAACGCTTAAAGATATTGATGAAGGTGATGATACATATACTCTCTTTCTCAAATAGACGTATCTTTTGTTCTAACTCTTGACTCTTACTCTTGAGCAACATCAAGCTTTAATTATTCCTTATTCACCAAGCAGACTCACTTTGATTTCACTATTGTACTTAGTTATGTGGATGATTTGATTCTTACAGGGTGTAACATATTTGAGATAAACATGTCAATTATTTGTTAAATAAAAAAACTTGGCATTAAGGATCTTGGTTCTCTAAGATTTTTCTTAGGATTTGAAATTGCTCGTTCTTGTACAAGTATATCTCTTAATCGAAGAAAATATGTTTTGTATCTCTTGGAAGATGAAGGGTTATTAGCTTCCAAACTATTTTCCACTTCTATGGATTTTTCTCTCAAGCTTTCTAAATTTATTGGATTACATCTTTCTTATGCTTCTATATATGTAGACTCATTGGACGATTGATTTATCTCACCAATTCCAGACCAAACATTAACTTTGCAATCAGCATGCTTAGTCAATTTCTCAACACACCTACTTTNGTGCAGAATTCTGATTCTTCTCATGATGTTCAAACGCTTAAAGATATTGATGAAGGTGATGATACATATACTCTCTTTCTCAAATAGACGTATCTTTTGTTCTAACTCTTGACTCTTACTCTTGAGCAACATCAAGCTTTAATTATTCCTTATTCACCAAGCAGACTCACTTTGATTTCACTATTGTACTTAGTTATGTGGATGATTTGATTCTTACAGGGTGTAACATATTTGAGATAAACATGTCAATTATTTGTTAAATAAAAAAACTTGGCATTAAGGATCTTGGTTCTCTAAGATTTTTCTTAGGATTTGAAATTGCTCGTTCTTGTACAAGTATATCTCTTAATCGAAGAAAATATGTTTTGTATCTCTTGGAAGATGAAGGGTTATTAGCTTCCAAATTATTTTCCACTTCTATGGATTTTTCTCTCAAGCTTTCTAAATTTATTGGATTACATCTTTCTTATGCTTCTATATATGTAGACTCATTGGACGATTGATTTATCTCACCAATTCCAGACCAAACATTAACTTTGCAATCAGCATGCTTAGTCAATTTCTCAACACACCTACTTCCCTGCATTTTCAAGTTCCTTTTCGTGTTGTTCGATATATCAAAGGCATACCTGGACAAGGCCTTTTATTTCCTACTCAACCTTCTCTTCACCTTACCTATTTTTTCAATTCAGACTAGGGAGCATGCCCTCTAACTGGCTTATGTTCACCTTACCTATTTTTTCAATTCAGACTAGGGAGCATGCCCTCTAACTAGCTTATGTTTCTTTTTTGGTTCAACTCCCAAAGGATCTGGCACCACCAAGCCAACCAAAACAATCACCAAGTTGACTAGGTCGATTAGGCTGATCAGTCCGATCAGGTCGACCAAGTCGATTAGGCTGACCATCAGGTCTATCAAACCAACTAGATTGACCATCATGGATAATGAATCATTAAGCTCCTAAAGCAACTTAAGGTATGATTAGATTATCATTAAGCTAGCAAAATATAAAAGCCTATCACAATTACTATAAATAAAAGTTTCAAATATGATTTTAGATATATGTACACAATATGTATCTTTAATCATTCAGCGGTCATGGTGGTTTTTAAGTCTCCATTGAATATACCTTTAAACTAAAATTTATAAATTCATTATCTTAAAATTGATGATAGTATTTTTTTATAAGTTCTTCAAAGAAAACTTCAATAGTTAGAGAATCGATAAAAAAAAATCATATACACATTATAACTTTTGGCACTTAGAATGTAATTTTGGAATGATATCAGACAGTATGAAACTCCTTTTGAATGTGAGTGATTTTGGTAGGACGAAGAGACGCCAAGATCACAGTTGCAGCGGAAAAGGGGGAAATATTCTCGAAAATGTGGTGGACTCTCAGCTAGATGGAGAAAAAAGGGTGATGGGCAAAAACGAAGTAATACACAGTATACTCCTTGTAGGTGTCAAGGAATCTGCACAAAGGAATGCACTTGTCATCGTCACGGTACTCGTTGTGAAAAATATTGTGGGTATGTCAATTTCACTACTTAATCTGTCTCGAAGCTTTCATATTACTGAACTAATCACAGTAATTGTACGATGTTTCATATTTCTCATGTTCATGTGTTTGTCTATTAAAATTTCTTTGTTAATAATAATCTTGTTAAGAAAGTTCATGTTTGGGAAGGCAGGAAAATCCATTCTAAATATAAACTGTGATACATTTTTATTTAATTTTTACGTTTAGGTGTTCAAAGTTTTGCAGAAACCGGTTCCGAGGATGTTATTGTTCCAAGAGTCAATGCAGAAGTAAACTATGCCCATGCTTTGCAATCAACCGTGAATGTGACCCAGATATTTGTCGAAATTGTTGGGTTGGGTAATCTAAATTAATCAAAAGCATTATATTTCTGTTAATCATTTCAAGTCCAAGTGATATTTTGTTTTGTATAGTTGCAACGATGGTTCACCAGGGGAGCTAGCCGGGGGTGGAAATGGTCATTGTGGAAATATGGATCTTCTTTTGGGGAAAAAAGAGAGGGTAAGTAACTAATTATTTGTTTCTCTTTTCAATTTTTTCAATTATTTTTTATTAATTTTTCACATTATTCAACAATCACGTATCATAAAAAGGCCTATTAAGTTTTGAAAGTTGTTTTTAGAATAGTTGTTTTAAAAAACAATAAACAATGACATATTTTTTGTATAATTTTTTATTTCTATCTCTTATTATAATACATTTTTTTATATTAGGCATTTTTATTTAACAAGAAGTGAACTAGAAAAGTGAAGTGAAATCCCTTGATCGAAAAGAGACCAAAAGTTCACATTATTATATAGACAAGAACACAAACACAAAGAACATCTAGAAAAACAAATAATGAGACATACTTCAAATACACGTCTTTAAATTATTTCTATTTATTCATTGAAAAAATTGTAAATACATTAGTATCTTACATTGTTTTTCTTATATTTTTCAGATTCTTTTGGCAAAGTCAAATGTTGTAGGATGGGGAGTTTTTGCAAAGGTTAAGATGCATGCACTTGGTTGTATTTTATATAATTTAGAAATATATCATTCTTACTAGTATTTACATATATTTCAGAACCCAATTAATAAAGATGCTTGTCTCGGAGAATACACAGGTGAACTAATCACTCACAAAGAAGCGGAAAAACGTGGAAAACTATATAATCGAATAAATCACTCATTTCTTTTTGACCTCAATGATAAGGCAAGTGTACACATTTTTTTTTCTTAACTTACTCTTCTTCTAGCACTTTTGTCATGCACTTAAGCATTATAATAATACCATAAGTGTGTTCAAATAATATAAGTTGTAAAATCTCGTAGTTGTTAGTTAACATGTATATCATATAGACATTAGCATTCTATTATTTAGTTTAATTTATTGATTGTAAACTTAAGTTTTCTAAAATAGACACATGTAGAGTGTAAAATACTCATTTGCAATGTATGAAATTTGTATTTATTGTACTAATTTATAATTTGTTACCTCTCATCTTGAAAAAACATTATTGTTTTATTTTGTTTTTATTAGCTTTCATAAATATACTTTTACCCTATTGATTTTAATATAAAAAAGATAGTATTGTTTATTTAAAAGCAATTATGTTAAGGTTTTTGCATGCATATTTTTGTTTTCAATTTACTATTTGAAATTTTCATAGTGGGTTATTGATGCTCGTCGCTATGGAGACAAGTTAAAATTTGCAAACCACTCATCAAAACCTAATTGTTATGCGAAGGTAAGTAAAAATACTTCACTTTAAGAGAAGATATACAACTTTACAATAGAATTGTCATAATTTTTTATTGTTGTATCGATTACATAGGTGATGTTTGTTGGAGGAGATCATAGAGTTGGCATATATGCCAAGGAAAATATCAAAGTTGGTGATGAGATTTTCTATGATTATTTCTACAAAAAAGAATGTGCACCATCATGGGCACGTCCATCTGATTATGAGGCTTCTAATGAACATGGATCAGCTGTTTCACAACACAAGGCAAAGGTTGATAATTTCATTAAGATATTAATATTAAATGCTAATATGCCTAAATTTGTCAATCAAAATACTAATTTTTCATTTTCCTACACATATCTATCTTTCCATTTACTTATTATTTTTGTGATTATTAATTCATTGATCAAATTACAAGAATGAATTAGTAATTTTAATTTCCTAATGTGATTTTTTAAGGAATGAGCTATTTTGTATGTATTGGTTCAACTAATAAGATCAATTAATTTCAAGGCAAGTTATGAATAGAAAAGTGTTTGCTATTTGGTAATTGTTTTTCATTCCTAACTTTTTAAGAAATTATCAAATAACAGATGTATTGTGATATTAAATTGTTTGATTATGATGATTGATGAATGTTTTATTTATTTTTTTTATGTAGGAAGAAAGAAATAAGAAGTCACTTAAGTGAAGAGATACATAATTCAAGTAAAGTAGATTGCACTAAAAAAGACATTCAAGCTAGAATCTACTTTACTTAAGTGACATAAAGATCAAAGAATGAGTAAATGGTGCCACTCTATGCCAATAGAGATAGTTTTATAATGTCACCAATGTGGAAGGATTGATTCTTACATTCATCTTTGATATAGGTTTTACTTAGGCTCTAGCTTATTTTCTCTTCACTTTTCCTTTTACCAAAATTCTTCATCAATTTGTTGAATTCTTTGAATTTTTACCATGGATTGTGGTAACTAATCTTCTTGCTCATGGAGTTAATTTGTAGTTGAAGTTTAATAATGTAACTTGTTCTTTTTCTTTTAATTCTGTTTTATAGTTTCATCAACAAAACATTTATAACTGAAATATTACAATCTAGGTTTGAAATAGAACTTGTTAAACAATAATTTTCTAGGTATATAATTAAGGTTTGAAAATGATGACAATAAAGTTTGTGAAAAATTCCTCGAGTCATTCAAATAAGATACCAATGATAAAAGAAAACCCAAGAAGAAGCTCATGTAAAGAGAACATCAAACTCATTCCTTATGTAGTTTTAGTTTTTCCTTTAAAGTTTTCAATGTATAAAAGATAATTTTAAAGGAAAGGGTTAGTAATCTAAAGAAATTTCCAAATATAGGAAAAATTAGTGATTAAAACTTGTTTATCACTCTTCAACTTTAAAGCTTAGAAGCATCAACTTCAATAAATCAAATAAAAGAAAATATAAACTTCCAATTATGAAGAAAATAATGTTGATAATTCTTTCTTTAATTCATTTTTATTTATTGTATTATTTTACTTTCTCATATCCTTATTAT